AGAATTAAAAGTAGAGTTCAAGAAACCTTTGAGTTCAATTGTGAATCCTTTGAGATCCATCATCAATTTGAGTTAAGTTTGAGGAAGTAAGTATGAGAATGAGAAGAGTCGTATACACGAGTTCCATATTGTCATGTAGACCCTCGAGTCGAGTCGTTCATGCCCATAATTTTGCATGAACTTCATAAATTCAGCATCTTTGAGAGGAGTAGTATCTTCAAGTTCTAAGTCTTGAGTATTGAATTCCTAATCCCTTTTAAGATTATATTCCTAATCATGGGACTATTACATTTTATCCATGAAGTCCTTGAGTTGAGTTGTTCATACCCAAAAATCCGCATGAACCCTATTAGTCGAGCAGTCTTGAGATGAGAAGTATCTTTGAATCCTTGAGTTAAGTAGTTCATGCCTTTGAGTTGAGCATTCTTGAAATGAGTAGTATCATTGAAGTTCTTGAGTTCCAAGTATTTAGTTCTATCTATGGTTATTGAAAACCTTGCATTGAGTCGTTCACATCCCTAATTCGGCATGAACCATATTTTAAGAAGTCTTTTACAAATGCTTTAAACTTGTTTTAAGACTTGAACATTGAGTTGAGTAAGAGTAAAGGTGAAGTTCATTTTCTTCAAAAGATTATATGGAAACTAAGTATTCCCAAAGAGTAAATGTTTTCACATTTAAACAAGAGAGGAAACGCCGATTTTCCAAGAGAGACTTTGAGTTCATGTTTCTTTAAAAAGTTCTATTCCTAATTATCGAATTTATATAGTGTTATTGAGATCTTTCATATCATGAATCATAACTCTTGAATTCACAACTCAAATTCAAGAAAGAGTTAAGAGTAGAGTTCAAGAAAGTTTTTGAGTTCAATTGTGAATCATTTGAGATCAACTGTCGATTTGAGCTAAGTATTGAGGAAGTAAGTATGAGAATGAGAAGAGTCATATACATGAGTTCCATAATGTCCTTTAGACCCTTGAGTCGAGTCGTTCATGCCCATAAATTCCGCATGAACTCCATCAGTTGAGTATTTTTTAGAAGAGTAGTATCTTCAAGCTCTAAGTCTTGAGTATTGAGTTACTAATCCTTTTGAGGTTATATTCCTACTCATGGGACTACTACATGTTACCCATGAAGCCCTTGAGTTGAGTTGTTCATCCCCATAATTCTGCATGAACCCTATGAGTCGAGCAGTCTAGAGATGAGTAGTATCATTGAGTCTTGAGTTCTGAGTACTGAGGTTCTTTATTTCTATTAAGATCACTGAGTTGAGTCGTTCATGTTCATAATTCCAAATGAACCCTATGATTTGAGTTATAAATTTTAAAAAAGCTTTTTAAAGCCAACATTTGAGTTCTTAAACTGAGTTTTGAGAAAGTAAAGATGAGTTTTGAGAAAAGAGCTTTTAAAAAAATGATTAGTATGACAATCGAGTATGTCATCAATGTATGAGTAGTATGGTATCTAGATATACCATCAATGTTTATGCAGTATGACTTCCCGAGTCATCAATGATCACATTATTATATGGTTTTGAAATGTTTTTGAGAAAGAGAGCAGAGTTGAGTTCATTTTCTTTAAAATGATATATGGGAACTAAGTATTCCCAAGAGTAAATATTTTCACATTTAAGATGGGAGGAAAATAAGATTTTCAAAAAAGTTTTGAGCAATTTGAGTACTATCTCTTTTAAGAGAAAGATTTTTGAGTTATAATCTCAAACCACAGAAAAAGTTATATTTTTAAACATATGAGTCAGTATATTTTGGGAGTAGTATTGAGCACCGATATGGGAGAGTTCAGATAACTCACAACCCCATAACCATGTAGTCAACGTGGGTAGAAAGGGTCATACTTTTTAGATGATTCCTTAATGCTTTTTAGCATAGACTAGTAGATCCACTTAGTTGAGAGGTTCTATACCCTAGCAAAGTATAGGACAGTTCTGGTAGCGTGGGCAAGACGTTGTATCATCACATAGCTCATAGTGATGGTTGTCGGTTAGAGACACTCCCACAGAGTTATATTGTATTTTTATATATACAAACTGAGTTATTATTGTATTCTTCAATACATTGAGTTGTTATCTACTATTTTTAAAAAGCTTTCCATATATATTGCATCTTTTACTGTTGCTTTATCCTTGAGTATCATGAGTTGAGTATCTTGAGTTGAGTACCTTCGAGTTGAATATCATATCTTTGAGTTGAACATCTTATTCTTGAGTTGAGTTAAGTGAGTTCAGAAGAGGTAAATATGTTTCCTTTTTATCAAGTTCAAGCCTATGTTTATGCTTTAGAATTTCCCTTACCTGCTCGTACATTCCACGTACTGAGTCATTTGGCCTGCATCATTTCATGATGTAGATACATATATTCAAGATCATCAACAGGAGCTTCGTTGATACCACATGGAGTTCGAGTTAGCTATGGTGAGCCTTCTTGCTTCCGGAGGGTTCCACTTGTACTTTCAGTTATATACGTTGTTAGGATGTCGTGAGTCTTGTCCCGACTTTCATCTTTGTCAGTTAGAGGCTTCATAGATAGACAGTAGAGTTTCAGAAGTCTGTTAATTTATTTTGTTAAATGTATTAAAGACTTGAGTTGCCTTTTGTTGGCTAGTTGAATATTCCATTTATATTCAGAGTAAATTAATTTGAGTTAAAGACTTTGTATTTGAGTTTCTATGAACTTTATTTAGTTTTAAGTCTTTGTTATGTTTGTAGTTAGTCTTCCGCTTGTAGTTAGCCAGGATGAGGGTTCACTTGGGGACCAACAATGGTTCTCGAGTGCCGGCACGTCCAGAGTGTAGGCTCGGGTCGTGACACTTCATAGATAGAGAATAGAGTTTCAGAAGTCTATTCATTTATCTTATTAAATGTTTTAAAGACTTGAGTTGCCTATTTTATGGCGAGTTGAATAATTTATTTGTATTCAAAGTTTTTCATTTGAGTTAATGCTTTGTATTTGAGTTCAATGATTTATTCAGTTTTTAAGCTTTGTATGCTTGAGTTAGTCTTCCGCTTGTAGTCAGCCATGATGAGGTTCGCTTGGGGACCAACAATGGTTCTCGAGTGCCGGCCACGTCCAGGGTGTAGGCTCGGATCGCGACAGTGCTTCCACTTTATCACTCATTTCCACCCCAAGAACACCTATTATAACAATAATAGGAAATAATTTTCAAAAATTATTTTATTAAAAATGATCGCGGGGGTGTAAAAATGATTTTTATTAAATTTGAAATAATTTTCAAAAATAATTTATTTTTTTAAAATATTGACGGGATGGCCTTGGTGGCGGGGGGCTGGGGGAGGTAGGGGTAAGAATATATATGAAATTTAATTATTTTATTTTTGGATGGGGAGGGTCGGGTATGGCGTACGGGGTAGGGTAAGAAAAAAATATTGAAAGATGAAGTAGAGTTTTGGAAAATGTTTTCCTTAATTTTTGAAGGTAAGTCATTTTTCTTAAATTTGAGGACAATGAATTGATTTTTGAAAAAAAAAAACTTTTAAGCCAACCAAACATAGAAAAAATTTCATTCCTACCAAACACACCCTTAATCTCCATAGACACTTCTAGCATCATTAATTTTGAATAGTGTTTGGTTACTACGTATTTTTCTTTCTCATAAATAATAGTTTATTTTTAGAAATGTTATACGGGAAAATTAAGCAGAATAACAAACAATTAAAGGATATTAAATGTTATAGCTATTGTTTTGGTAAATTGTAATTTGCGGCCATAGTTTTCCCAAATCCTGTTATTTGTTTAATTTTTACAATTCGGTTTCTAATTGTATAAATCCAGAAATTGTATATACTTACCCTGGCTATTTATATACAATTTATGAAAATTTCACATTAAATTATCTTGTTTATATATTGACAAGCGAAATATACAAACGGACATCTGAAAAATTTCTAAATATAAAAATACAGACTTTATATATACTTACTCTATTTGTATATTCGCAAGCGAAATATACAAACGGACATCTGAAAAATTTCTAAATATAAAAATACAGACTTTATATATACTTACTCTATTTGTATATTCGCAAGCGAAATATACAAACCACACAAAATATACAAACCGCAACCTCCATAGCAAACTGAACGTAAAAGAAGAATCTAGAATTTAGAGAGAGAAAATATCTAAGGAGGAAGAAGAATCTTTCATTGAGTAAAGCTTACTGATTACAATGAGTAAAGTAGCTATTTATACATGATTTCACTGTTAGTAACTAATCTTACTGTAACTAACAACTAGAAGATTAGTTATAACTAACTCATGTAAATATTATATTACCCTTAATTGATCCTAGCAGTGTTACCTAACTACCATTTATTTCTTCACATTACAACACTCCCCTTCAAGCTAAGTAGTGCAAAGACATTTAACATTCCTAGCTTGGATATAAGATGTTCATGTTGCAGTCTTGATAGCCCTTTAGTTAACATGTCAGCAGGTTGTTCTTTGGTAGGTAGGTAGTTTACTTTGATCAGTCCTTGTTGCAACCTTTCCCTTATAAAATGACAGTCAATCTCAATGTGTTTGGTCCTCTCGTGGTACACTGAATTTGCAACAATTTGTATTGCAGCTTTACTGTCACAATACATTTGAACTGGTAGTTGTACTTCAGCATCTACTTCCTTTAATACTCCAAGTAACCAGACTAGTTCAGATACAGTAGAGGCCAGGCTCTTGTATTCAGCTTCTGCTGAGCTCTTTGACACTGTGGTTTGTTTCTTGGCTTTCCATTACACTAGAGAATTTCCCACTTTGATCATATACCCTGTTACAGACCTTCTGGTTAGTGGACAAGAGGCCTAGTCAGCATCACAAAATGCAGTGACCCTTTTATCAGATGTACTAGCTAAGAGTAACCCCTGTCCAGGTTGTCGTTTTAGATATCTCCCCACCCTTAGTGCAGCATCCATATATGACTTCTTTGGTTATTGCAAAAATTGGCTTAAGGTCTGAGTACTAAAGGAAATATCAGGTCTTGTCATGTTGAGATATAACAGTTTCCCTATCAATTTTTTGATACTTTGTTGCATCTATCACAGGGTCTTCTTCTGAGTCCTTTTGTCCCTTGTGTATATGATCATCGTACAACTTAGATGTTAGTTTGACATTAATGTCAATAGGGGTTCCAGCAGGCCTTGCTGCTGACAACCCAACTTCTATGGGCTTCTGATATAAGTTCAAGGACATACTTCCTTTGATGCATTAATATACCATCTACTGATCTAATGAATTCAATGCCTAGGAAATATTTCAACTCTTCTAAATCCTTCATTTTAAATTCTTGTTGTAGTGCCTTCTTTGTCTCTTCAATCAACTTTAGACTACTTCCAGTTATCAGCATATCATCTACATACACTAGTACAACAACCATTCCTTCTTCTGATTTATTGATGAACAAAGAGTAATCATGTGAGCTTTGTTTGAACCTGAGTTTGATGAGAGCTTCTGTCAGCTTATGATTTCACTGTCTTGGAGCTTGTTTGAGTCCATATAAAGACTTTGTCAGTCTACACACCTTCTCCCCTTGGCTGACAAACCCCTGAGGTAACTGCATATATATTTCATCATCCAGATCACCCTGCAAGAAGGCATTAAACACATCCATCTGATGAATATGCCAATGTCTAGAGGATGCCAAAGCTACAATGGTTCTTACAGTGACCATCTTAACAACTGGTGAAAAGGTCTCTTGATAATCAATCGGTTCCTTTTTGTTGACTACTTTAGAAACTAACCTTGCCTTGAACCTTTCTATTTCACCAGTAGATTTGTACTTGACTTTGTATATCCACCTACAACCTATAAGCCTCTTCCCTCTTGGTAAATCAATAAGTTCCCAAGTTTTGTTACACTCTAAAGCTTGTATCTCAGTCTGCATAGCATCCACCCACCTTTTATCTTTGATAGCTTCTGCATATGACATAGGTTCCTTAATAGTGGAAGTAGCAGCAATGTAACATTGATAAGATGGAGACAGGTGATCATAGCTAATATAATTACACAATGTATACTGTACATCCTTAGTTGTATTCAGTGAAACAAAGTCCTTCATCCATGTAGGAGTTTGTGTTTTTCTGGTAGATCTCCTACCTACCGGTACTGCAGACTCAACTACATGATCAACTTCATCATTAGCTATTAGAGGAGCTACATTCTTAATAACCTGATCAATGCTATCAGTTACTTCCAGCTCTTGCTACTCTATTACTTCCTACTCTTGATGCTCTATGATATCTTCTGGCACAATATTTTCCTCATCACACCTTAGTGTCATATGAGTGAACTCAGTGAAGACTTGAGACAACACCCCTGAACCATGTACCATGTCTTCAAATATAGGATGATTGTTAGAATCACTCTTATTTGCAAAAGGAAATATATCTTCCCTGAAGATGACATCTCTATAGACAAAGAAGGTTTTATTAGTCAGATCAAAAACACATATCCCTTCTGGACTTCTGAATATCCCATATGAGCAGCTGGCCTTGATCTTACCATCAGTTTGTCATGTTCAGTGAGGTTTTTAGCAAAACATAAGCACCCTAATGTCCTTAAATGAGACAGACCTGGTTGGCTTCCATATAACTTCTCATAAGGAGTTTGATAACCTATCACACTACTTGGTAACCTGTTGATTAGATAAACTGCAGCTAAAACACAGTGCCCCCAAAACCTCAAAGGAATGTGTGCCTGTAATCTGAGTGCCCTAGTTACTTCAAGTATATGTCTATGTTTCCTCTCAGCAACCCCATTTTGCTGAGGGGTATATGGACAAGACCTCTGGTGTATAATTCCCAATTCTTTAAACAAAGCAGTGCATACTTAGTTAACAAACTCAGTCCCATTGTCAGACCTTAACACCTTAACATTTCTCCCAAATTGAGTCTTAACATATTGCAGAAACAGTTTCAAGGAGACACACACATCAGATTTATATTTAAGCAGAAATACCCAAGTCAATCTTGAAAAATCATCCACTATTGTAAGGAAGTACTTGTTACCATCAAACGTGGATGTACTATAAGGACCCCACAAGTCAACATGAATCAAATCAAAACAAGCACTACTTCTTATACTACTTGAAGGAAAAACAGACCTAGTCTGCTTAGCACAAGGGCAGTTTGAGCATTTAGAGATTTTACATATACTATCTTTGTTCATATCAAAGATTTTTGCAAGAACTATAGAAGATACATGACCTAATCTTTGATGCCACAATTCCATGTTGGAAAGTACTCTAGGAACAACAAATGCAGACTTCTTCTTTTCACTTTCAGTCCCATGTGTCAACTGTTGTAGTAGAAAATACAATCCTCCTTCCTCTTTACTAACCTTCTTCACCTTTCCACTGTAAAGTTCCTGAAAAACACAAAAATGAGGGAAGAAGGTGACTGAACAACCTAGTTCCTTTGTGATTTGACTTACAGATACTAGGTTATGCTGGAATTCAGGTAGGTGAAATACATTTGTAACCACACTGTTAGCTGACAAATCACAATTACCCACATGAGTCACTTGAGTGGTGTTACCATTAGGAAGATATACAAATCTAGGAGCATCAAGTTGTGTCACAGACCCTTTAGACATCATATTCAAGTTAGACACCATATGATGTGTAGCACCAGTATCTACAATCCACATTTTTTTATCTTCAGAAACAAAAAATGATTTACATGTCGTATTAACAGCACTGCAATCAGATATAGGTTGATCTGACTTTTGTTGAAACACTTTGAGAATGTGATCATATTGATCTTTTGTGAAAGTACATCCCTGAAGTAGTTGTTTGACATCTCTCTCAGCTTGGCTTAATGGCATATAGTTCTTAACCCATTCATTTGCAGAATTACCACCATTACCATTTTGAGACTCATCAACCTTTCTCCCCCACTCAGGTATATGTACATTTGTGTTAAATCCATAAGAAAAATGAGCATGGGATGCTGAAGGCTGACCAGACTCACTACCCTGAATCTTTCTTTTAGACTTGAAGTCAGGTGGATACCCGACAATTTTGTAGCAAAACTCCTTGTTGTGGCCTTTACATTTGCAGAAATCACAAATCAGCACATAATTCTTCTTGAACCTTTGATTCACCCCTAAGCTACTGGTTGTATTCACCCATGAGCTACTACCAGCTTTGGAATATAGGGCAATAGATTCCATACTGATTGAATTTAGTCCCATACTGCTGTTTGATGTGTGAACGACTGCCTTCTGACTTTCATCTCCCACAATCATAGCATAGGCATGATTAATGGATGGCAATGGGTTCATCATAAGAATTGGCTCCTAGCCTGATGGTATGATTCGTTCAGTCCCATCAAGAACTAGTACAACTTCTGCCTATTCATATGTTCCACAAATCCTTTTGATTTCTCACAATTACAACAAGGGCATGGTACCAACACCTCAAACTCATCCCACAAGGTCTTAAGTCTGGTAAAATACACAGAAACAGTAGCAGTACTTTGTTGTAAAGAAATTATATCTTTGTGCAAACTGTATGTTCTGGATCCATCCACCCTATCAAATCTTTCCTTCAAATCATTCCACACATTCATAGCACTTGAGGCAAAGGCAATGCCACTTAATAAACTCTTAGAAACAGAGTTCATCAGCCAAGATAACACTATAGCATTAACTCTTTCACAATGTCCCCATAGTTCTTCACCATATACTTCTGTCCTGCAACTACCATCAATTAGCCTTAATTTATTTCTCCCTAACAGAGCTAACTGAATTGATCTACTCCACAACATATAATTTTCAATACCAGTCAACTGAAACGAAATCAGGTTGATCCCACTAATATCAGTAGGACTCAAAAACAGAGGATGATTATAATCAATACCTTGATTTGAAAGAGAACTGTCATTGTTATGAGCAGATGTACCACTGGTTTGACCAATGTTGAGATTCTGAGACAGATCCACCGCTACATTATCAGGAGCCATTGAACAAACTCTGATTCAACCCAGGATTGGAACTGTTTTTGCAGAATCTCCTTTCGCGGAAGCAAAATACAGATTTCAAATTGAAATCTACTGCTGAAGGGAATCAGCAACAATGAATCGATGGATTGACAGTAATCCTTTGATTCTATACCAAAATCGTCTTCAACAGTAGCTACTGTGAAGGCTTCTCTGATACCATGATCGTAAAAGAAGAATCTAGAATTAAGAGAGAAAAAATATCTAAGGAGGAAGAAGAATATTTCATTGAGTAAAGCTTACTGATTACAATGAGTAAAGTAGCTATTTATACATGATTTCACTATTAGTAACTAATCTTACTGTAACTAACAACTAGAAGATTAGTTATAACTAACTCATGTAAAGACTATACTACCCTTAACTGATCCTAACAGTGTTACCTAACTACCATTTATTTCTTCACAATACAACACAAACATAACTATAGCAATAAAACGCAATTATCGAAACTATAGCTATAGAGCCTTATTATGTTAGCTATTTCTAAAATTCTCTTATATTGTAATGTATTTTCCCATATTATTAATATAAAAATAAAAAATATATTATAATGTAAGTTGAACTCTAAATTAATTATTGTATATCGTTATGCTCTTCTTCAATACCATTGAAACAATAGATATACACCATTGAAGCAATCACCATATTTTTAGTTGGCTTGCTAAAAGTAAGGACTTCTTTTACGATTTATATTTATCGTTATTATTCATCATGCTCTTCTTCAACACCATTGAAGCAACAAACCTACACCATTATAACTAAGGTATATGAGACAATCACCACACTAGTTATTTGAAAGCTATGCTACACGAGTAAAACGGTAACAATATTGGTCTCATTAGAAGAACTAATTAACTTTTTATTTTAAGAAACACGAAAGTTTAAAATATATATGAGGAGCACTTTCAAGTAGTGCAAGCCAAGCAATGACACATTACTTTCTCAAGTGCAAGTTAATTTATGAAAATGAGTTGGATGGCCAAATCAAAATATTTCTTTGTTAGAGTAGTCTAAAATATAGGGTATTTAACTTAGTCAAATCTGACCAATTATGGTTGGATGGATTGAGACATAAAAGAGATTAATAATAATTTAAAACTAAAATTATTTTGTATGGATTGGTAATTGTCTTACATTGCTTTAATAGTGTTGAAGTGGAGTGAGAATATTGACGACGAAGACAAATAGTAAAAGAAGTCCTTATTTTTAGTAAGGCAATTAGTAAATATCCTAAACAAATTTCATATAATTAATTTAGGATCTAACTTACTTAATAATACTTTTTTTGTTATTTTTATTTAAATATTAATAATAAACTCTCTCCGTTCATTTTTACTATCAATGTTTAACTTGACACACATATTAAGAAAATAGTAATTGATATAGATATTTTATCATACTATCCCTATTAAATGACGTTTAGTATTACTAGATCTCAAAAAATGATTTGGAGAATAGTATTTAATGCTAAGGTTAAAACATGAAAAAAATAGTCTTTCCTTCATATGTCAAAAATAACAAGTAAAACTGAAAATCTATTTTAGGAATAAGTAACAAGTAAAAATGAACGAAGAAAGTATAAAAATACTTTACAATATTTCTAAAAATAAACTGATAGTACTATCTCCGTCCACTTTTAATTGTCACAGTTTTCCTTTTTAGAGTCAAACTATAAAAAACTTTTACTAGTATTTTGTGATGTATTTTTTCATCATATTGATATGCAAAAAATTGTAATTTATAGTACTTTTCGTATAGTTTTTGAATATCTAAATTTTTTATTTAACATATCGAATTAATGTAATCTAATTTAACTTTAAAAATTAGTCAAACTGACTTTCGAAAAGTACAACATGACAAATAAAAGTGGACATAGAGAATATAATTTTGTTGTCCACTATCAATAAATATTAATTAATAACATTTCTAAAAATAAACTGACCATATAATTTTATTGTCAATTGTCAATAAATATTAGTTAATCTAATCATTTAATACCCAATTGACTTGAGAGACAGAGTGAGTAGCGAGAGTGAATATTTCTATTCAGCTTTCTCTGAAAACTACATCTAATTGAAGAAGAAAAAGAAGAAGCCAACATGCTGAGATTAGCTTCAAGGTCAGTTCTGTCTCTTCACTCTCATCAATTCTTCTAACAACATAGAAAAGCTAAATCTGGAATAAGTATAATCTAATTATATGTATATGAAAGCAATAATTCAGTTCATGAATTTGCAGAATTCATTCTAAATCCGCCTCTATTTTGAAATCTGAATACAGCTAGTTAGATGTGGGGAAAAAAAATAATATTCTGATTGGTAATAATCAGTAGCGTTTAATCATAAATTTCAAATATTATGATGTATTCGGTTTTGTTTTTATTTTCTCTCGTATTTTGCATCTTATCTTTACATCTCATTTTTTTTGTTTTCTTCTGTTTAATTTTGAACCAATTAACAGGGGCGGCCTCAAATCCAGGGCCCTGCTTCGAAATTTCAATAAATACTTCTCTACTCACGTTGAGAGGTGTGTTTTCTCTCTCACATACACAAATGTTTCGCTTTATGTAGCACAGTTCGAATTACGAGGATTAAGTTACTTAATTTATGTTGTAAATTTAGATGTAAAATTTTGAAATGATCTAGCTAGCCAATGAGAACGAGACATTAAGGCACCGCGATCGCTAACCGTTGCATCTTTCGTTTATGCTACTTATTTGTGAAGGTTTCACTTTGCTCTTTGATAAAAATATGAAATGACTTTTTAGAAAGTGATTTTTTTGTATTTGATATTCATATTGGGGTTCGATTAAATGTGAATTCGTGCCGAAAAATCCTACATACTCCCTATTAGAAAGAGAAGTAAGAAGACATTAACTCTCTTGGATATTTCAAAGTAAAAATTTATATATTTTAATATTGTATAAAAATATTGTTATAGATTATAATAACAATTATAAAATTTAAAATATTTTATTAAAATTATAATTATTATTTCTTTGATTTTTTTAATAATAATTGTAACACATTATGTGAGTGAAGGAATATTATTCTTAAATGTCACATGACCGTTGATATATCTTCTTGTACCGACAAAAATGACAAGAGGCCATTTTATTTATTCGCATAGACAACATTGCATGTCAGGTATCATAATTTGAGTGGTAAAAAGACAAGGGGCACGATAAAAAAAAATTATAATATACTTGAGGAATATAAAGTTTATAGATTTCCATTAAGATGCGCATAACTTTTCATAAATATCGTTCATAATTTTGAAAAACATAGTGATAATCCGCATATTTACTAAATATAGGAGTAACAATTTATTTCAAAATATAACTATTACGCACGCACGCAAAATATCATTTATATAAATACATTTTACGATAGTCTCCCAAATCATTACATATGCTTGAATTTTAGGAGATACACTTGTATTATTATCAGAATCGGATCGTACTTAGAAATATCCGAAATCGATTTGGTGGGCTTGTTAGTAGCAAAGATAATTTGTATGCCTACCTGAAAATGTTGCAATCTGAAATTCCACGCTGGAAAAATAGCAGCAGTTGCGTATTTAGTAGTGTTTTTTGGGTTTCATCGAGGTCTTAGATTTAAGCCTCGAAATAAAAAAAGTCTTGCTTGAAACTGTTTTTTCTTTTTAATTGGTCTTGCATGTCTCAAAATTAAATTAATAAAAAAAATTCAATACTGATATTGAAATTGATTTTTTGGATCGACCAAAATTTTGGGGCAAAAACCTTTCTTTTAATGGCTCGACCCTCTGGCCGGCCCTGAGTACTCTGAATACAAAATTTGAAAGTAAGTTTATTTTGTGAATGCAAGGAAACTAGAAGGCAAGGTGGCGCTGATCACCGGAGCAGCAAGTGGAATCGGAAAAGAAACAGCCGCGAAATTCATCAACAACGGTGCCAAAGTTGTAATAGCAGATGTACAAAATCAGCTCGGCCAAGAAACTGCCTCCGAGCTCGGGCCAAACGCCTCCTTTGTGGTCTGCGATGTCACAAAAGAATCCGACGTCTCCAATGCCGTGGATTTCACTGTCTCCAGCCACGGACAACTCGACATTATGTACAACAATGCAGGTATTTAGAGGCGACTTCAATGTACAAAGTAACTCATACTTTCTCTGTTTCAATTTATTTGTCAAATTTTAACTTGAAACAGAGTTGTCTTAAACATGTTTGTGTATAGAATTAAAAAAAATTAAAATTTTGTACCC